CCCCCCCGTTTACCCATCGTTTATTGAGATTGCTTTTACCGGTTAACCTTCTTATTTTTCTTGATTCTACAACTGAATCAGAAGGTGAATACCGGTACCTCCTTTAAGACTAAAAAGAAGTAGGCATCAACTGTTACACGATCACTTGGTCTTTGCACTGCTGCCTTTAAAAACGTAAAAGAAGCAGCGTTGGCTGCAGCAAACCCAGAGGAGAGTTTGTCCAGTTAACAGTGACAAAATGTTCCTTTTATCGTTTTATTTTAGGAAGGTGGTGGTCCTGGAAAAAAAAGAAGAGGAGGCATTTGGTTTTGAGATTCAGGTAAGTTTGGGAGTGATATTTGGGGGGTTGGAGTGGATTTCTCAACTTCTCGAGTGCCACTTTCACGATCCGCCACTATCTCAGTCCACACATGATAAAACCTAAGTGACAGAAGCTTGTACATCCTGTTCTGTGTAGGAAAGGTCACACATCAGTCAATACATCAATAAACCCGTTGGTGTTAATCCCATGACTGTGGAGATGCTTTTATTTGTACTTTTTCTCCCAGCATCTGTATTTTGAGCAGTGTGGTTTATTCACATGCCTTCCATGTAATACCTGCCCCGCTCTGCCCTGCTCAGCAGACAGAAACTTTTCACTTCTGACCTCAGTTTGTCTCTGATCTCGCTCGTGTGCCCTGAAGCTCCCTACCTCACAATATCGGCTCTGTTGCTCAGACCTCATTCTTTAAATAGTTTGCTAAATGATTAAAGCGTGCGAGTACATCTTCACATTATCGTGCTTTGGCGGTCTTTTTAGACTTCTTGGACTGAAGTACTTCTTTGAGGAAGCGATATAACTACATTGTTCTATTTCTGGATTTTTGCTGCACGTTCCCACCCTTCCTGACCAGAAGGAAGTGAGATCATGAGGACAAGTTTGATGCTACACAGAGAAAGACAAATTTTTGTTTTGTTTTGTTTTTTTTTCTCTCGCCGTCTGCTCTGTTAATACTGGGAGTCGAGGATCGAGCACATCAATGTGATATTTGCATTTGAAACAATATTTGCATGGTTGCGTGAGAAGGAAACGAGCAGCAGGATCAGGCTGATTTGAATAGGATACAATCTGTCAGGCTGAATTCGGGAGCAGATAGCCTTTATAACTTGAATTTTATTTTATGGGATACTTCGTTTTCTTTTTTCTCTCAGCTGGAAGTTGGTTTTCTTTGTAAGGTAGAAGCTCCTTCAGCAGCAGCATGCTGACTAACAGTTTTGCTGCTAGGGGAAGTCTATCTATGTTCTGCAGTGGTCTGACCTTCTGTAGAGGAGCTGTGGTGACAGAAACTAGGAAGAGCATGCAAATATGTATGGAAGTTACAAAAACGGTTGCCAGAACAACAAAATATTTGGCCTTTGAGTTTAAGTAATGCTCACGTCATGTGGTTAGGTTAAAGTAGCAAATACAACCCAATATCCTGGAGTCAGATTGAAGTTTTCAAAAGTAAATACTACTTGTTATAGGGGACATTTATTACCCCTGAGTAGTTTACAGCAATTTCTTGTTGATTTTTCTTTTTTTCCCCCCCACCAATCTTGTCACTTTTCTCTTGCAGCAGTTAATAAAACCCAACAACTGGTTATGAAATTGGTCATGTGATGATAGAACAGTAAGAGTTTTTACAACTGTATATAGCTGTAGCTTTCCAAATTATTGTTACAGTACTTCCTTTTGACATTTAGTGGTGTATAGTAGTTGATTTGTGAACTGTGATGAGCAGGGCATTAAAATAACTTCAGTGTCGCGCATCAACCGGCCATGTTTCATCAGACGAGGGGAAGAAAACCTCATTTGCTTCTTTGCGTCACATCTCCGCGTGTTCAGTGATATCTTCTTTCCTGCATTGTCTATCATGACTTCCTCTGCCGGTTATTCAGTGGCTTTTCAGCGTTGCCACATTCATTTACAACACGTATAAGACGGCACCTAGGCTGGGAAAGTTTTTTTTGTGTGTGTGTGAGTTCCTTTTATTCAGCGTGATTTTTCTGTCTCCTTCAGACTTACGGTCTTCACCATCAGGACCAAAACTCTGTAGAGATGTGTACGTTTGTGTGTAAGGTCCACAATGACAGCCCCGCTCAGCAAGCAGGACTTAAAGTTGGTAAGCAAACTTCCTCCTTCTGTACGTTTTCCTCTTTTTATCTGAGCTGTATTTAAGCCTAAAATAACCTGGAGAAAAACTTGAAATAGACTCGAGGGGAAGCGAGCGTGACACGAGGCTTCGGTTCAGGTCGTTGTTTGCCAGCTGACGCTTGTGTAACGTGCGTCAACATAAGCACTCGTGAGTTTCTGTTGGTTGTTTAGGGAAGCACAAAGAAGACTGTATCCCTACTCATTTTTCCCCAGTCAACAAACAAGCTGGTGATCGACTACTCACCAACGTGGCAAATGACACAAAAGCAAATTAACTTTGAAGGAAGTGATATTGTTTTAATGTCTGGCTTCCTTTTTAAAAAAACAAAATAAAATGAATTAAAAAAATTAGAAAAAGAAGTCAAAATTACAAACAGCTAATGTGTTATAACTAATTAATTAAACCAGGAAGTGCATTCATATTTTGTGTTTTTGAGAGACTGGGGAAAGACAAGAAAATATTTTATCAAGTGAATTGTGATTGGTCAGTCACAAGCTGTCCACACCCAGTGTTATGTTTCCATTATGTCAAAAAAAGAGGGAAGGAGACTATGTGCTGCTGCTCTTACCGCCCATTTTCTTCAACCTGCGTCTGTCACTTTAGTTTCACTTCCTAAATTCCTTGCATACTCGCTCTATTGTCCCCCCCACTCTCAGTCTTGCTGTGAACACAATGACTTCATCGCAGTGGGGACTTTTTTTTTGGAAAGGTCAAAGTAGGCTAAAATCTCATAAAAGATGCTGTCACATGAGTATCCACGCCGCATCTTTTCCTGCTTTGATGAAACTGAAGTAGAACTTTGTGACATACGCGACTTTACAGCTACCCAGATGTAAACGGTTTAATGGCAAATAAACGCTTTTCTGCGGTCCTGTGACGAGCCATATGCCACGAAGACGCGAACTAGTCCTCCCACATTTGTCTCGCACATGTGTTGAGGTTTCCTTCAGAAGTGTGCCTCATCTGGCTGCTTCGTGAGGCGCGGCTGGCTAACATACACGTTTGTATATTTGTGTTTGTGCAGGGGATACCATCGCAAGTGTGAACGAAGCCACCGTGGAGGGGTTTCGACACAAGGAAATCGTTCAGCTCATCAGAGCTAGTGGGAACTCGCTCAGGTACACAGACTCACAAAACCCAACAACAGTGGCTTCAAAACACTTTCCTCAGAATTTGTTAATAAGTATGCTCAGCTCATCGCGGTGGCTAAACGGTTGATAGAGCTGACAGGATGCTCACTTCATGGTTCACCTCTCTAACTCTAACAAAAGTGAATGTGTTTCACATGGGAACAGAAACCAAATAAGTTTGAAAGGTAACAGAGGGCCAAATCAGGAAAGATGAGAATAATTTCTCACAAAAGTGCCGTTTTGGTTTTGAGATTAATGTCAGAGAGGCGGTACATCCTGAATTCTGTTAAGGTAACATGAAAGATGTTAGTTACAGTTTTTCATTAACAATGCAGATGGTAAACATTTGCACTGGCATGAAACGTGGCAGTTTGCTTTTATTGTCACTTGCATAAATGTTCAGTAGGATAGGAAAACAATCAGAAGGTGCTATTTCTGTTTTTGGAGTCCAGGAAAAACTTGAAAAATAATTGAGGTTAACTTTAAAAATCCTTCCGTATTGTACTCGTTTAACTCTTAGAATAATTTGTGTGCCTCAGCTTTATTATCTGGCACATCGCCGTTTAGAGTCCTTATCTGTCGGTGTGCTGAGTGGGTGTTTTTAATTTGAACCACACAGTCTTCTTCAACCCCCTTCTCTGCTTGTAAAAGATTAAAAGAAAGTTAGCATGGTGTAAGATTCTCTGAGCTGATGCACAAGAAGTGAGGCGAACCGCATCAGAGCGCCAGTGTAGACACACTTTACAGACTGACATCATCAAATTATACTTACAGTTCAAGTCAGTAAAAGCTGTTAGAGTGAAAACGAGCTCTGTATGTTCTCTCGCTCATGTTATTTGAACAGATTTGCGGCACTTAAGTGGAAACTGTGTTTCTTGTTCTCCCCCCTTGCTTGTAAACCAAACCCGTTCCTGTTACTAACTTTATGAAAAGAGCCTTTCATATGGTCAAGTTTTATTTATTTATTTTTTAAATCACTGTTTTCTGCCCTTGTAGTTTTTATGCGCTTCCTGCTACGCCTGTTAACTCTACTGCCTTCTGGTTTTTCGTTTAAAGGCTGGAGACGGTTTATAGTGACTCAATTCGAAAAGCTGAACTAGAGGCCCGGCTGCAGTATCTAAAGGTGAGTTGTTCACTGTTTGTCAGTGGTGAGTCAGAACGGATGAGCGTCCAGCAGCCTCTCACACACGCGCACCCGCTTAAACATTAAGTTACACGCTGGATATAGACACCACACCTCCCTCCCTCCACACCTGTCCCTCCAGCAGCACCGCCACCTGTTACATTAGCAGTTTGTGCAGCAGGCCCACTGATGGCTGCACACATTCTTGACTCGAGCTGCCTGTGAAGTGGCCTTAAGTGAGCGAGCTTTCCCCCAAGATTACAGCAGCTGTCCTTTTTCTAATCCTCAGCGACACAGCTGCCTGAGAGAATAAACCAACATTTTAAAACCTGCTGCTGACGCACAAGATGAAGTAAATGTTAATGTGTAAATAAATGTGACGTGGTTGTTGACTCATTTATGAAAAGATTAAAAAAAAAAAAAAAGTGAAATGAGTGAAGGCCGCTTATGCAACGATGACAAGTCTAAACTTCAGTTAACAGTCTATGACATGTAGATTTACCATCTTCAACTCCGTTTTAGTCTGTAGCTTCTAATTCTAGCCACGTGGCATGTTGGTTGCCTGCTCAAGCACTGATCTAAACTGGCACCGTATTTTTAATATTATTATTATTATTTTATTTTTTTGTTTAGTACACCTGTGGTGTGGGCTCAGATGATTTAGCTTTATTGCTTTTAAAGGTTGCACATGAGGGTGGTGGATTTCCTGTCTGTATGTTGTGTTGTTTTGTTTTCCTCTTGTAATCAATTCCAATATCTTGTGTTGTCTTTTAGCAAACGCTTCATGAGAAATGGGATGAATATCGCTCACTGATGGTGCAGGAGCAGCGCCTTGTTCATGGTAGGTGATTTTTGGCCTTGTGCAGCTCAACTTGTACATGCATACAGAGTCTGCATTCTTCTATTCTACTTTATTAGTACTTTTTCCACATCCAGACAAGATTCCACAATGTAGTCAAATTCCAGGTCACACTAAATCCCAAATGTAAAAAAACAAACCATAAATTAATTAAAAACAAGTTCATGTACATGTATCCAGAACATTTCATGTCATCTGATAACAAACTGTACCAATCACATTACCTCCTTCTTGAGGGGGAGAGAATCAGGATGTGTATGACTGCTGCTTTGCAGGAAGTCCTGATTACATAGTAGAAAACAAACAGCTCGTTGCTATAGTCGGGTGGTCGCTTGTGCAAAATGAGGCAAACAAGACTCACAGAAATTTAAGGCAGTGTTTTTTCATTTATTATTCATGTTTTCTTTACAATTGGTCAGTTTCCCATGTCCTCACGCTGCCCTTCTTCACCGCAGGTATAGTAATGAGTGACGCCGCCTTGTACGAGTCCCTGGAGTCAGCCGGTGTGTACGGCAGCCTCGGCGCTCCTAGCCCTGCGCTTCAGAGAGCCCTGCACTGCACAGGCAGCACCAGCAGCAGCGCCAGCTTTCTCAGCACGGCCACCGAGGATGACCCTCTCTACCAAACCTGCATATATCAGGCGGATGGCAGCGTGGACTCTGACAGTGCAGAAAAAAAGAAAGAACAGTTACCGAAGCTGCAGCGCCTCCGGCCGACCAGCGAGTTCTTTTCAACGCCCAAGACGCAGCTGACCCGCAGCGCCAGCACTCGCAGCTACGTCAAAGGATCTTCGTCGTCGTCGTCGTCCGTTCCGGGGGAGAAGCCGGGAGCCACGCTGCAGAGGAAGCCCAAACAGAAAAGCTTCCGCAGACGCCTCCTCAAATTCATCCCCGGCTTAAACCGACCACTGGAGGAGGAGGAGAGCAAACTGTGAGCGGCAAACTGTTCACAGACAGCAGAACTAAAGACTTAAAGTAATAATTACTGCCAAACTAAAGTGCCAAAGAAAACAGCAAGCAGCCCCAAAGAGTGAAGAATTTAAGACCAAAGTGTATTGGTTCTGTAATTGCACCTCTTCCTGTTTAAATGGGTAGACCAATGGACGTTTAGCTACATTCGGTAGCATTCAGTGTTTTATGGCTGTACATAAGTTGTTGGTTTTTTTTTTTTGTTTGTTCTAAGTTATTTATTTATTTTTGCATGTTCAGTTTATGTTCAGAATGAAAGATGTCCCAGTTTGTACTGCATGCACAAGTTTAATTTTGACAGCTGAATAAAACACCAATGATCACTGTAATTGCGTTGCAGAACATTTTGTAAGAAAAAACTTTGATAATGACTTCAGATGACTCAGGCTGATCATATTTTGTCTTCTCTACTCGAGGTCACGGTTCCCAAAAATAAAACTTGTGGCTGATGATTATATGCGTATTATTTTGTGCAGAACTTGCTTGAAAAGCTATTTTCCTCCCCAAGCCACAACTGTTTGTGGGAATTGTAGCTGCCAAGCTTAAATTAGTGCCAAGACCCCGAGTGTACACACAATCTGTAATTTCCCCTGGTGGAGATGTGCTCTGCTCCATGTGATGCTTTTAAATATAGTAAGCTTTTATAATTTCACAACTCTTCCACCGTTTAAGAATCTTATCAGCCGAGTTCTGGAGGTTAGCGTGCGGCTTGGGATGCTTTAGGCTTTTTTGTGGTGTGAGATATCCAGAATGGAAGCTGTTGTATCTGCTCTGACACAGTTTATTGTTGTGAGAATAGTGAGGAATGTGCAGAGAAAGGCATGACCCAGAATTCCAAACACAACCGCTTTCTTTCAGCTCCTGCAGGCGAATGCTGATTCCTACTCTTCCACACTACCATATTCCCATGGCGGCTTCAGTTGTCCAAAGGCTCGCTGGGTGTTGGGGTGTGTGAGCGTTTGTTGGGCGGGGGTCGCTTGGAGTCTTTTCATTCCTGGCTCCCAGCTGACCCATGAGGTCATGGTGGTCACTCTCTCATTGGCTCTGTTGGGTTGATCCCTTTTGTCCTCTGCTGCTCGTTCACAGATGCATTAGGAGTGACGATGCTGGTGAACGATGGTATGTGGACATGTGTCAAAGCCAGGCCCTCTCATCCTCGTTTTTCTAGTGAGAAGCAGAGGAAAGGACGTCGTTATAAAGGATTGTTATGCGTGTGTGTTGGTGCTTAAAATATGGGGTTGGAGTGAATGGGCCAAATGTGTAACGAGGGTTTAATTAGTCAAGATAATTGTCTTTAGTGCACAATGTGTGGAAGAGCTATATAACGGAGATGTGGGGCCCAAACAAGCAGGGTGCAGTTGATGCTCAGCAATTAACACCACAGGAGATTAGGCTAGGCGTGTGGTTGCTGTTGCAAATATTTGCATGACACCCACAAGCTTAAAGACTGCTGTTGACATAAAGACTAAGTGGAGAATTTGTTTTAGTCTTTGCACAAGTGGGTTTGACAGGTTTGCTTCAGTTTCTGCTTCTTGTGCTTCGTGAACTAATTACTAATAAACTTAACTGCCATCTCTACTGTCACAATAGTTTATGACAATTCTTAGTAAGCTGGATTATAAACCTTCTTCTCTCACAATGTTTAAGTGGAAAAGCAGCTTCAGAATTGGAAGTAGGTGATGCAGGTACATGAATAAAGGGAAATTAACAGAATATTTTCCAGGGGTTTTTTTTGTTTTTGTTTTTATATATATATCACGCCTCGTCTCAAGATGTTTCTACTCAATTTAAAATAAAAAATCCAACGCGGAACATGAGACTTTTCTAGCTTAAATTTCCACTTCACTGCATTTGACGTTTGAGATGATGGGCCACTGGGAGCAGTCTGCCCGCTAATGTATGTAGCACGATGTCACCTGAGGTGAAGTCCGGTGATTCTATAGACTGCAAGATTTGGAAATGACCTCTGGGGCCAGCTCTTGTGAGATGCCTTTAAAAGCATTGAGAACTGTCAGTTGTGTGTGTATGTGTGAGCTGTTTGTCCTATTCATGTCATACTTAGTGTGAGTTCCCTCCAGACCAGGAATGTCAGACATGTGGCCTGAAGGTGAGAACCGACCCCGAATCTAGATTACTAAATACTAATTGCTTAATAACCTCAGAAAGCATGATAATTATGCTAAGTCAATAATAGCTTCAGTTTTATAGCTCTTGGCCTGCAATGTATTTCTAGGTCTTGAGAATGTCTTTGACTGAAAGGGTAAAATACTGCGCTTGTTTAGATTCACTTATTGTCAATGTGTGAAAAATGCACAAAGAAATCCTGCACACTACCTGGGTGGCTGTGGCTCCGGTCGTAGAGCAGATCCGCTACTGATCGTGGTTGGTGGTTTGATTCCTGGCTCCCCCAGTTTGCATGCCAAATATCCTTGGGCAAGATACTAACCCCAAATTGCGTTCATCGGAGTGTGAATGTTTGTTAGTTGCACTTGAGTGCTTGTATGAGTGGGTGTGAATGGGTGAATGAGGCATGTTGTGTAGAGCACTTTGAGTACTCCGGGAGAGTAGAAAAGCGCTATATAAGAATCAGTCCATTTAGCTCAGGTGTGCATAGAAGACAATAGCATGCTTGTTCAGCAAAACACACACAGTTCCATATATTCTTGTATGCTTAAGATAGTAAAAATGCCCATAGCAGTTTTATTGCACTTGTGTAAGAAAATTGTGTATATATAGTAAACAAGAAATAACAAATAGTGTGGCCCTGGGTGCTTGTAGATTTGATGTGTTATTGATTTTAGTGTGGGTGATTTCAGAGCAGAGCTCACTGTGATGGATCTGAGATTAATCGTGCAGTCCATCATGCTTTGATGGACCTGAAATGTTTGCCTGAGGGCTGACATTCAAACAGCAGATAGGCAGGGGAGATGAGTCCTTTAGGATGCAGTGTACTTTCAGCAGGCAGCGTGATCTGTTGTTGAGAGCAGAGACTCCCTTCTTATCTGCTGCAGAGCTCCAAAAACTTCTACCTGAGAAGATTTTGTGGCTTTGTAGATGGAAGTTAAACTGTAATGGATGTGCATTAGGAAATACTGTTAAAATGACAGTTATATATTTTTCATGTCAGGTGTTTTTTTTAAAATCATTACTGTAAATGGATGCACTTCTTCACACTGAAAGAAAGGTAGGCTGCCACGCAATAGGTTTAATGGTCTGGCCCACTTGAAATCAAATTGGGCTGTAAGTGGCCCATTAACTAAAGTGGGTCTGACACCCTTGCCCTTGAGAGACTTTCTGCCTACACCACTTTGTGTGTGGAGGGATGTGCATGCATACACAGACACAGACATGACATTACCCCAAAGCCAAGTCTTAAATTTCAAACAGGCTCTTTAAGGGGTGTGAAAAAAAAGATAACGTTTTATACACTCTTACAGTTTCAAACTGAAACTGGTTCTGACAAAGATAGCATAAAATGTTTTTATTCTGGTTTATTTATGTCTTGTATTTGGTTTCCTGTGAGTTCAGTCACTTGCTGAAAGCCACAATATGCTTCTTCTGCACAGCCGCATGTAACTTTTGTTACTTATTGCGTGCATGCGGGAGTTTTAATGGACATCTGCAACCGCTGCTACAAAAACAAACCAGCACTACACTCTCCCCAGTCGAGCACTGAACTAGCTCTGAATAATGCCTCTAATAGTTCCTCATACACTGCTCATTACTCCAGCAATAACAAACAGCCATCACAACACACGCGAAACAAAAATGCCTAAATAAAAAAAGTATGCTGTCTCTGGCCTTGCTGTACTTATTTATCTACTTAATTTTAGTTTTGAGCTTTTCAATCAAAGTCCCAGAGCCTTGTTTCGACAGGGTTTAATCAATTGGCGAATCTTAATTTTAAGACTGGAGATCAGAGGGGGAAAAGTTCCACTGACCCCTCATGCATATGCACGTTCCTTTTGTGTCCCTTTACATGCAAATTCAGCTGTAGAGTTAGACTTTTTAAACCAGCTGAAAGTAGCTCAAGACAGAGTAGAACAAAATGTGCCTGGGGGACGAGTCCTCTTCCCGTCTGTCAGTTGTGAAAATGAACATTTGAGAAAGGGAAGCGGGAGGGCCTGTAGGACAGAACTGAGCCTCTGTGGTGAAACAGTTCAGACCAGAGTGCTATTTCTCAATCCTGCTACATGCTGTGGCATCTGATTGGCCGTTAGTCCCCTCAGGTTCAAATGCTGGATCAGTGTGCTGATGGTTAATAATGAGGAAGCAGTTTAGCGTAGCACTTACACAGCTACTTATTTGCAGAGACGAGACGCCAGACAAAACCACTAATATTGTTCTCACGCAAGATACCAGCCTCTCTGAAGCACAAATATCATCAAAAAAAGGAGGAAGTTTTTAATCTCAGAAACTGGGGGTGGTAAGTTGTGTGTGTTACGAGGGCAGGAGCTTGTGTGGGCCGTCACGGCAAAGGATGTGGGTAACAAATGTGCCGGAAATCCACCCTAAAGATAAGAGAATAAAACTCAAGGCAGGGTTTGAAAAAAACAAAACAAAAAAACCAACCCCCAGCTTTATAGGTATGCATGCATCTACATATCCATCTGTCTGGCAGTCTGCGTGTGTGTTTAATGGGGAGAGCGAGAGCAGGTAACGTGCAATATTGAGAAATGATGTCTGAAATAAAGACAGAAATTGTCCTTTACATAGAAAATATAAAAAAAGGAGTAACACTGAGGACCAAAGGGCGAAACATGCCCAGCGTGACTAAGATGACTCGGCTTTATTGCAAACCTGAGTGGCCGTCAGCTTCAACAACGGAACAGCTAAATAAATGCAAAGCGCTGTAATCGCAGCATAATCTGCATATCAGATAAAACTCCTGCATTTGGTTTCCCAGCAGCGGGGTACTGATACCTTCAGTCGTCTCTTCTATCATCACTTTGTGGATTTATCTGCCCCTTTCCTGTACGGTTCACAATTTTAACCCAACAGCTTGTTAAAGAACAGCCCAGAAACTCTATTAAGGAAGTGTGCAGATGTTTAATTTGTAAAACTTGGTCTGTAGCTGCATCGGTTTGAAAGATTTAAAAATAATAAACATTTCATCCCAAAGTAACCATTTCCTTAGAATAAAAGATTAATGAAAATATACAAACAGCAACTTGAAGTACATATTAAAGCCTCTTTTTGTTTGATAGACTGATGGGAGTGTTCAAAAGTGGGGAATTTGCAGCTACTGAGATTTTCATATTTTTATGTTTTTATATCTTGTCTGTGGTTCTCTTACTGGTTTGCAGTAGGCGAACCACGGCTGGGGAAAAAAACAAGAAATG